TGGTCCTTTATTTATATTCTCCTTTTTTGTTTTGTTTTGTCAGAGATAAGTGTTCCACTGCAGTTAGAGAAGCTATATTTGGAGAATTCTTTAAAGGACCTTTTCACATTTGAAGCTAGTCTAAAGATTGTAGGTTCTTAAATTCAGCAAAATAACCCAATATAGTCCAATGGTCCATAATAGTAGTGGGTTATCAGCAGAATTAGCAATTTTCAGAAGTTGTTGACTTGAGCCTTTTACACCTCAGCATATTAATATGGCATTACTTTTTATACCTCGTGGTTATACTTTTCTGCTGGCTAGACCAAGCTAAAGCAAGAACTATATAATTAAAAATGTAACTTTTGTATCTTACAAGGTCAGTCAAATTAGAATATTTAATAATGATAGGGGAAAAAGCATACATAAAGTGGAGAAGAGGAAGAAGAGGTTACTCTTGGACTGAGGGCAAAGCATGGGAGTGTATAAGGGACCAGGCCAGAATCCCCTGCAGCTCTATGCTATGTAGGCCATGGGTTTACAAAGTGAGTGACATGACCTAGGTTAGAGGTTTTTGAGAGGCACAGCCTAGGTACCACTTTGGACAGGGGTGACAGGAAGGAATTACTGGGCACCTGAGAGGGTTATGTAAACTGTAGGATCAGAAGGTACCGTATGTACCTTCTTTTGTCCACTCCCTAACTGAAGCTACTGGTGTCAAGATTTAGGGACCACCACACTAAGACCAAGATGGCTGTGGAGCAGGAACTGGGGCCCAAGTAGTTCTGATGGGAGATGTGTCCTGGACTGGTAAGGAAAATACTGACAAAAGGTGTGAGCATTTATTTTGGCAAGAGATGTATATATGGGGCTGGCTGAGCTTTCAGGTACTCATCTCTACTGTTCCAGCTGGAGTCAATTTAGGGACTGGAGGGGACAGGGGCAGATCCAGAGAAGAACTAGGGTCCTGGAATAATATGAGATACTACTGCTCAGAGTTGACTTGATTGAAGCTTAGGTTCCCATAAGCAATTGAGACAGGGTCTTTTACCCAGTCTTACCTGAACAAAAGGACCAATGGCCTTGTAGGATATAAAGCCCCTTGAAGGCACTATCTTTCTATCCTACACTAAGGAGAAACTGAGTTCCTGAATTAAGATGAAAGGTATGTTACTGAGTTTCTAACAGTCCAAATCTGGGAGATAGAAACAATAATGACTGAATCTTTTACTCTCCAAGCATTAGAAAGCCTCTAAAATGGAAGGGCTCTGGGAGGCTAAATTATAGGTCAGTTGACCTTATCATGGTCCTACCTCTTTTTTAAAACCCTGTAATCCAACCCTGAAAAAGAATCATATGATGTGGAAGAGGAAGGCAATGGTGTTATAGGGGAGTAGGGATAGTTTCAATCTACTTTACGTTTATCTTTCATGGATAACAGTTACGTATAGATGCTTCTGCCTAATGAAATGGAATGTGCCTCAGAGCTGAGGAAATAGTCTATTCTAGCAAGCTAGATTAAATAAGTTACGGAGGGAAAAAGGGGTCTCATTTGCACTACAGTGGGCCATTTGTCTGCCCAAGGAATTGAGCAGGGCTGATGGGCTAGGTTTGGTCCCATGGCTGCACTGAATGCTTGGCATAACTCCAGAGCTGCTGTAGTTAGTGGCTCCAGCACAGTGTGAGTTATACAAAGATATCAGGACTAGAAGGAAGAATAGAGGATGGGTCCCTAGAGGCTGGGTATCCATTACATGACTACATGGATTCAAACTCATCAACACGCTGCTTGCCCAGCCAGATCTGACTTAGAGTCTTATATTTATCTCAGCCCAGTCACATGTTCTCAGCATGGATCATGTCATTGGCAGTCTCCATGGACTCATCACGGGCATTGGCCAGCTCTGAAGTGGGGGCCCTTCAGGTGCTTCTGCACTCGCTTATTCTTCTCAGTGGTATGTTCCTCTTTACTGTGGTCCTTGGCCATAGCATCAGCCCACAGGTCAGCACTGGCATCTTCCCCATTCTCATCTTGTTCATCCTGTTCATTTTTTGCAGGCTATGCTACATGAGGTGTATTCATGGCAGTCTTTAACTCAGCACGGGTCTTCTACAAGTCTTCTTGCAGCATCTGTGCCTTTTTTTTTTTTTGCCACTCAGCAGCCTCACTCTCTTTCTTCCATCAGGCCATCTTCAGCTGAGAGATCTGAGCTATCAGCTCTGCACTTTCTGAAGCCATTTGTTCTTGGGTCTTCTTTTGGTACTGTGAGACCTGCAGCAAAGCCTCCTTATCCTCTTCAGCTTCTTGATGCTCCTTGGCCAGCTTTTTGGGCTCTGTATGTCTGTTCTTCCAGTTCTTTCTTTTTTTTCAGAACCAGGGATTGAACTCAGGCCCTTGCACTTGCCAGGGAAGTGCTTGTTCTACTGAGCCATCTCCCCATCCCCTGTTCCTCTAGTTCTTGTTGAGCCTTCTTAGTCTGTTCTTCAATCTGCTTCAGCTTCTCCATCAGTTCATCTTTCTCCCGCTCAATCTTCTCCTCTTCTGCCATCTCACGCTTATTCTTCTCATTTTCCAGCAGGGTATGCTCCATTTGCTTCTGGTCTCCTCCCGAGCCTGTGCCTTCATCTATTGCACTTCAATGGTGTCAGGCTTGCAGCAGCGCATATATAGTTCATGGCTCCCCATGCACAGGGCTAAAATCCACTTGTTCATCCTCAGTCAAGGAGCACAAAAGACAAAGTCCGGGGATTTTTTTTGTCAATAAGCTTGATGACAAATTTCTTGTCATTGAAAGAGATGTTCTTGATTTCACTCCAGGGAAATCCAATTTTGGGCATCAGTCTGTCATTCTGTTCATAGATGTTGAGATCTAGGGCATTTACCCCTAGCCACAATCCTCAGCCTTCCTTGTTCTTGATGCTGAAGTAATTCACACCATACATCTCCAGATCTTGGGCAATCTTTAGATATTCCAGGACAGCATCTTCTCTGAACATGAGACGGTGTTCTTCATGCCAGACTTGAAACCATTCCTCCCACTGAACCTTGTTGAGTTTGTGTTGTTCCATGACTCTCTGAGGCAGAAACTTGTCTCCACCCAGGTATCCAGACCTGTGCACCTCCCTGTTGAAGTTACCATACTTGGACTGGACAGCATAAGAAGACAAGAGCACAGCAGTTTCAGGTGGGCATTAAAAGTCATCATTGAGACTACCTTCTTTCACTTGCAGAAAGAATAGGTGCTGGGTGATATCCTGGATTCATTCTTCAGGTACATCTTCAGAGTAGAACTTGGCCCAGAATTTAAAGAGCAGAGGGCTTTCCTTTTGTACATCCTGTGAAGTTACTTTCTTATTGAGTTCCAGTAAGTGGAGAAACCCTTGGTGTTCTGGTACTGCACACCACAGAACCAAACTTCCCTCAGGCCAATAGTTTTCACCACCTGATCAAACAGCTGCTTGCCAGTGGTATTGGGCTGTGCATCCAGCTGTGCGTCCATGGTGGTCACAAGCACTAACTGTCTTGGGCATAGTGGTGGCAGAGGAAAGGAGCTGGCAAAATTTGGATGGAAACTGTTGGGCAGATCTGAGAACACAGTGCACAAGGCTCATACTCTGAGGACCAAAAGGGGGTTTGGACTGGGTTCCTCTCCGGTCTTGGGTTACTGCTCCTCTTCCTGCTAACAGGCCATGACATCACAAGCCCCACCCAGGAAAAAGCTGCCTCTGTTGTGCCACCCCCTCCTTTATGTGGCCTGTATAGAATCTTTTCTACCATCTTTGGTCTATTCTTTCCTTTCTCCATGTTGACTCTGTAGGATACACTGTACTCTCTTATCTAAAGGGGTTGGCATGTATGACAGTATGATGTGAACTCCAAAGAGCATGGGCAGCCCTGCCGCTGGGCCTTACTAGCTGGGAGAATGGGACAGGGAAGTCATACAGGCCAACCTGTATGATTTTCTGCCATATTTAATTAGCATATGAGTCTATCTTAGGATAAAGATAGTCTCCTGAGAATTTATAATTGGTCTGGCCACTAGGAAAAATAACAAAAATTACATAGTAGTGAGATATCCTTAGAATCCAGTCTGCAAAACAACAAAAATAAATGTAGAATTATAGAAAAGAGAGACACGTGAGACAGTGAAAATGTGTTTCTTGGCTTCTTTGTATTTCTTGTTTCTAATTCCTTCCTGCAGAGTGGCTGCATTTTTGTCTTTGGAATCCAAGAAATAATTTTTTTCTTTAAGTGAAGTTAAGTTTTTCTTTCTTATATTTACCATATTAAAAATAAATCACTAATTGGTTTTGAAATTATCTCATTGCTATTTATTTCTAAATAAAATTAATTAAAAAACAACAAAAAATCTTCCACTATTTTTACACTATAGAACTATATTTTATGCCTGAAAATTTAAGTTAATCCATTCACTTAATATTCATAAATCCTAGGATTTGACTTTAGTTCTTTTTCTTTCTGGGTATACACAGTATATATTGCCACATAACTTTTAATAGTAGATTCTGTAATAAAACAATACATTACACTGTATGGTCTTATATACCATAACATTTTATAGGTTATTTTAAGGTTTATTTTATTTATTTATTTTTGGTACTGGGAATTGAACTTAAGGTCTTGTGCTCCTCAAGCAGGCACTACGCCTCTGAGCTATGTCCCTGTCCTTTAAGGTTGATTTAATTTCCTCAAAATTTATAAATGCCCCCAAATCTCAGTAGTATAATTTCCAACTTACAGAAAATGTATTTGCTTTAAGTAAAGGATCATATAAATGTTACGTATGTCAGAACAACCAACTTGTAAGACTACCAGGTAAAACACACATGCCCCGTTAAATTAAAATTTCAAATAGATCTTAAATGAAATTCTATTATGTCTTACATGATACATGAGATATTTACATGGGACAATGGGTAAACTTTAAAATATTTTTATTTAGACCCAGGAGAAAATTTAGACCCAGGAGAAAAAGAATAAATTCAGATCAGTCTTACCTGTGTTAGTTGTGATGTTTCCTCTAGGAATGTCAATTAACCAGAGAATTCGATCACTAAACTTGAATGAAGAAGGCACCAGAGAACAATATTTTACAATGTTAATAGTAACAGCTATTTTGGCATATTCTATTTATCTTTTTTTTTTTTTTTCTGTACTCGGGATTGATCCTAGGGTCTTCAAAAGAACCATATCCTCAGCCTTTTGTTTTGTTTTGTTTTTCTTTTGAAACGGTCTTGTTGAGTAGCTAAATTTCTTAGGCTCAGCTTGAACTTGCAATCCTTCTGCCTCAGCACCACATGTAGCTCTATCTTATCTCTCAAAAAAGAATTAAACAAAAACATCCAGGTACATATACTTTTATTTAGCAATTTCATTGTTAGGGCTTTGCAGATATGTGCAAAGTGATGTATATTCAAGAGTATGCTTGCATCATGTTTTGGAATAGTCTAAGGTTGGAAATAATAAAAAAGTTATTGAGCTGCATACAATAATATGGTCACATAATGGATTACCATATAGCCATGGTCTGGTAGCATGAAGCTGAAGTGCTACTGCTTAACAATAATAACCAAAGATAAGGCACGAGATGGCAGAATACTTAAAAATTTAGGAGAAAAATCCAAAGAGCAAGAGATCTGCAAGAATGCTGAGCTCTAAGATTTATATAAAAACTGTGTCCAAATCCTTGTGCTACACAGGTGAGGAGGACACCCCTTGAAGATCATGTATAAAAAATCCAGCAGCAGAAGCTAAAAGAATTGGTAAAGATATCAGTTATTAAAACTATAAAACAGTTCAAAGTTTTTGCCAAGTTGTTTGATTTCTTTTTTTTTTTTTTACATTTTTTTCTTTAATTTTAATGTATTTGTTACAGGGTCACTACACAGAACGGACTGATAGTGATCCTCCTTTCCTCAGTCTCCCCAGTACTGGGATTATTGGTGTGTGCCACCATGCCCAGACTCAGTTGCTGTCTCAGCCTGGCATGTGGAGCCAGGGATCAAACCCTAGTCCTTCTGCTTGCCTAAGCAGGTGCTTAGTCCGCTAAGCTATCTCACTGGCCTTCTATCTGATTTTAGAATAATAAGAATAGCAGTTTCTTGGAAGAACAAAATGGAATCTAGAGTTGACAAAACATAGTAACTTCAATGGCTAGTTTTCAACCAAAAGTGACATGATATGAAAAGAAACAAAAAAGTAAAACTGAGCTAGGTGTCCTGATGCATGCCTGTAATCTCAGTCCTCAGTCCTCAGGAGGCTGAGGGAGGAGGATCACTGCAAAGTTCAAGGCCAGGCTGGGCTACAAAGTAAGTTCAAGGCCAACTTGAGCTACATGGTAAGATCCTGTCTCAGAAATCAAGCAAATAAACAAACAAACAAAACCCCCCAAAAACTGATATACAAGAATATATTGAATATAGACTGCTACCTGCTATTGCACAGTGTATAAAAACTCAAAATGAATCAATGATTCATAGGTAAAGGCTAAAATTATAAAGCTTCTGGAAGAAAACATACAGGTAAATCTTTCTGACCTTGGATCAGGTGATTGCTTTCTACACATGACTCATAAAGTTCAAGAAAGGAACTTTCATACATCAAGCACACACTACCAAGAAAGTGAAAAGGCAACTCAGAGTGTAAGAAGATAATTGAAAATCATATCTGGTATGGGACTTCTATACAGAATATATAAAGAACATTTGCAATTCAACAATTAAAAAACTCAATTAAAAAGGGCCAGGAACCTAAATAGCTATTTCTAGGTCAGGTGTGGTGCTGTAAAGCTCTAATCCCAACACTTGAGAGGCTGATTCAGGAGGATTGCTGTGAGTTTCAGCTTAGCCTGGACTACATGGTGAGTTCAAGGCTGGTCTGAACTACACAATGAGACCCTGTCTAAAAAAAGTTATTTCCCCAAAGAAGATATTTAAGTGGCCAGTAAGTATAGAAAATGGTATACAACATCATTTATCATTAGAAAAATATAAATCAAAACCATAATGATAGAGAGCTCCGCATACTCACTAGAATGGCTATAACAAAAAAGACATAGCAAGTGTTGGTGAGGATGGGGAGAACTAGAACTCTAATAACATAGGTAGAAATGGAAAGCAGTATAATCATTTTGGAAAGCAGTCTTGTAGTTCTTAAGAAGTTAAACATGGCTTTGTGTCCAGAGATATGAAAACACTTCCCTAGACACATCCACAAACAGTCAGCAGCATTATTTATAATAGCCCCAAACCAAACAACTCAAATGGTCTTCAACTGATGAAGAGATAAATCAAATGCAGTGTCAATGCAACGACACATTATTATTATTATTATTATTATTATTATTATTATTAATGTATTTTACTATAGGGTCTACAGGGTCTCACTATGTAGATAGGACTCATAGTGATTCTCCTGTTTTCAGCCTCCCATGCGCTGGGATTATAGGCTCGTGCCATCATGTCTCAGTTGCTGTCTCAGTGCGCCCCAGGGGCAGGGCCTGCATGACACATAGGGTATCAAACCTCAGCTGCTGCGCTCTGCCTAAGCAAGTGCTTTAGTATGCTGAGCTATCTGGCCAGCCCTTCATAGTGTATTATTCCACCAGAAAAGGGAATGTAGTACTGATATGTTTTAGCACAGATGAATATAGGATATATTATATAAACTGAAAGATATAGTCATAAATATTATACATTATGTTTCATTTACACAAAATGCTCAGACTAAGCAAATATGTAGAGAGATAGAGTAGTGGTGGCTTAGGGATGAGGAGTAGAGGCAGAATGGAAAGCGCATCTTCTAATGCCTCTAAGTTGTACTTTGGAGTGATGAAACATTCTAGAATTATATAGTAGGGCCAATCATATAAATCCAGTGTATGAATTTACTAAAAATAATGAATTATACACTTTATATAGGTGAACTGCGTGATATGTGAATTATATCTCAATAAAGTTGTTTTAAAAATGAAGGTCAGGGGCCGGCCAGACAGCTCAGCACACTAAAGTGCCTGCTTAGGCAGAATGCAGCGGCCAGGGTTCGATCCCTGGCTTGCTGTGCTGGCCCTGCCCCCAGGGTGTGCTGAGACAAAGATTGAGACTGGGCATGGTGGTGCGCACCTGTAATCCCAGATCTTAGGAGGCTGAAAACAGGACGATCACTACAAGCCTGATCTGTGTAGTGAGACTCCATAGACCCTGTACTAAATACATTAAAATAAATGAAGGTCAAATAAAGACATTTTCAGAGGAATAAGCAATTCATTGTCAGCAGATTTGTACTGCAAAAAATATTTGTTTCTTCAATCTGAAGAAAAATGATACCAGATGCAACTTGTATCTACAGAAAAGAATGAAGAACAATGGAAATGGTAAATGAGTAGGTAAGTACTTAAAAAGTTGTAGTTTTCTTCCAATTTCTTAAAAAATGTTATGACTGGTTGAAGCAAGAAGTATAATACTATATTTTAGGCCTAAAACATATGCATATCTGTGTCTATATGTCTATATCTATAATGTACTAATACTGAGCTACCTGTCTTTAAAAACATATCCTATAAGGAAGGAAATACTTGTGAAAACATACCATAGAATAAAACAAAGCATAGTTACCAATGTTAAGTTAAAGTGGAAGATGCCACGATATGTGCTGTTTATGATTTCCAAGGTAGGGGCAAGTCCTCCAGATGTGAATGTACTTAGCATTTCCTTGGAAACAAGCTCATTCTCCGCTTGGAAAAAACATTTGATTTTCTTTAGGAAAGAGGAAAAGAAAACAAACAAGTAATGGCAATTTGATGGAGAGAAGCATATACATTAATTTAAAAGTGAGGAGAAATCTGTGAAAAGTAAATGCTGCTAAGGTAACTACCTCCAGCAATTCCAACTCTAGCTAGAGAGAAAAAAAGAACTATTTTTCCAAAGTACACTTTTAGAACTCAGTAACCTATTATGTAATGGCATGAAGTTTCAATTTATCCTTATTGTAATCTTTTCTGTCATAAAAATAAGAAAGTTTTTATATTTAATAAAGATAAAATCAGAACCACATGCTCTCACATGTAGGAAATTTGATTTTATTATATTTTTGTGCCTAAGGAAGCAAATGTATAAAGCAAATCTTGCAGTTTTATTGGTTGTTTGCTACGGTACATGAAAATACAGCAATCATAAATGGTAGATTTTACTGAAGAGTTGCATGAGACAGATACTAAGAAGTTTATTTCACCCCTCAGTTCTCCTTGTCTCAATTTTTTTTTTTTTTTTTGCTGGCCTGCTCAGCCCACACTGCAGGCAGGGTGGCATGTCATGTGATGCAGGGGATTGAACCATGGTCCCTGCACTCTTTGCCTAAGCTTCCTAAGCAAGTGCTCTAGGCTGCTGAGCTATCTCACTGGCCCCTCTCCTTGTAATTAAGAGCATTTTGGGCAATTTCCTTATCTACTTTAAGTTTCTCTGCTTAAAAAGTGGGGAAGGATATTTATTCACACAATATCTACAGCAGTTTTGTAAGTGCTAGGTATAGAGAAGTGAAGAAAAGAGGAAAACTTCCTGCATAATGGAACTTGCATTTGAATGGGGATCTTCAGGGAGACAAAGTGGAGGGATGGATGGAGTGGTAGATGGAGGGGTAGGTGGGTGGAAGGAAAGATACAAGGAACATAAACATAGAATCAATTACTCAAAGTAGAAAAGGGAGATTGGCAATACAAGAATTTGTAATTCGTCTGGGAAAAGGACAATAGTACTTAATTATCTCAGAGATGATCAAATGTGAAGATTAAATGTCCTAATTAACACAAAATGTTTTGAAAAATGCCAAACACACACACACACACACACACACACACACAACACACACACACACCCCCCAGCATGATACAAATAAACACACTGGTATAACCCAAGCCCTATGCACAACTCATGTTTTTCAGTATTAGTAATTGAATACAGGGCCTCATGCATGCTTACGTACTCTATCATTGAGCTATAGCCTCAGTCCTTTTTGTTCTTTTATTTTGAGATAGAATCTTGCCAACTTGCCCAGACTGTTCTTGCATTTGTGATTCTCCTGCCTCAGCTTCCTCAGGAGAGGGATCAGTTATGTGCCCCAGTGCCTGGCTATAATTCCTTTTTCAAGAAGAAAAGAATGAGAGAACTGGGTATGGTGGCACACATTTGTAATCCTATGTTGATGAATGCCTGTAATCTCAGCACTCTGGGAGGCTGAGGCAGGAGGACTGCAGCCCTCATAATTTAGCAAGACCTTGTCTCAAAATAAAAAACAAAACGGGTTGAAGATGCAGTCCAGTGTGAAGGCCCTGGGTTCAATCCTTATCACTACATAATACAATACAACAAAATAAAAAAACTAGAGAAAAAAAAAAACTGGTTGGAGAGGTTTAGTAACTTGCCTAAGCACACATAGACCACTAACTGGCAAGCCCAAGATCTGATCTCAACTTTGTAAGCTGTCTTCTTCTAAGGCTCATTCCTTTTCTACAGCATACACAAATAAGAAAGGAATTTTTTACTCAAAGGGCATGTACTTAACAATAATTGTAAATATAAAAGTTAAATATATGTGGCATACGAAGAAGGAATTAAAGTCTCAATCAAAGCAGTTTTAGAGATAAATATACTTGATTGGTGTGGAATTGTTTTTTTTATTATAGTTATCATAGATTTTTAGATAATCTGCATTTTATTAACTTCTATGTTTTTAGAGTTTTTTTTTTTTTTTTTTTTTTTTTTTTTTTTTTTGCGGAACCAGGGATTGAACTCTGGACCTTGCGCTTGCCAGGGAAGCACTTATTCCACTGAGCCATCTCCCTGGCCCTGTTTTTAGAGTTTTCTGCATAGCTATCTTTTTAAAAACTGTGTTTTATTTTATTAGTACATATTTGCAGTTCATGCATCTTAGAATCATCTTGGGGACTGGCTCTATATACATAATGCAGGTTTTTCTTTTAATGTATTTGATACAGGGTCTACAGGGCATTCAGGGACTCACTATGTAGTGATCCTCTTGTTTTCAGCCTCCCAAGCACTGGGATTATAGGCACGCGCCACCACACCCAGTCTCAATCGCTGTTTCAGCGCACCCCAGGGGTGGGGCCGGCATGGCATGCCAGGGATTGAACCCCTGGCTGCTGCACTCTGCCTAAATAGGTGCTTTAGTCTGCTGAGCTTTCTGGCCTGCCCAAGTTTGGTTTTTTCTAGTCTCTTTCCACTCCCTTGTTCTTCCCCTTCCTACTCTGGTTTCTTTATCAACTTTTATGTATTTGTTGATACTATTTTTCTTAGCTCATGTTATGTCATATAAAATTTCCATTTACTGGAGTTTTTAGGCTCCTGTGCATAGCATATCTTTATTTTTCTTATTTCCCCTAACCCCCCTTCTCACCTCTCACTGTTGCTCCCCTGGACCACTTCCCTACTGAACTAGATCGATCCCTTTGTCCCTTTCCATCCCTCCTTTGTCATTTTCTTTGCATTTTGCCACATTCAAATGAGAGATACCATATGTATGGCTATTTCTTTGGGTTCTCAGTGATCTCAAGGAAAAACTGCAGTGGCATGAGGAAAACATAGACAAGAGACAAAGCTGAGGTCACGAAGAGGTTATTCTCTGATGGGAGCAGAAGAGCTGGCCATGAACTGTAGAGCGTTTATTTATACACTCAAGAGGTTGATGTCATTTTGAGCCTCTTTGCCTAACAGCCAGAGAGAAACAACTTATTTACGTGGCTCAGGGTATCTTAGCCCTGCATGTGTGATTCATCTCTAGCTTCAGCTGCTCTCTTCACATATGGTATGAAAGCTTGTGTGTCTGGTTTATTTATTTCAACATTATATGTACAGGTACATGCATTTTCCTACAAATACCTCAGATTTCTTTATAGCAGACTAGCATCCCATTCTATATAGATAAAACACTTTCCTTATCCCATCATCAGTTGGTGGGTATGCAGTCTGCTTCCAGGATTTAGCTTTATGAATTGTGCTGCTGTAAACATTGGTATGCATTTAGTGCTGTAGTATGACTACTTAAGGCCTTTGGGGAAAATACTTAGCAGGGACATAGCTAGGTCATAGGGAATTTCTCATTTCAATTCTTTGAGAAATCTCAAAGTGATTGTACAGTTTGCATTCTCAACAACAATAAAAGGGGGTTCCTTTTCACTACAGCCATGCCAGTGTTTGTTACTGGTTCATTTCTTAATGATTGCTATTCTTTCTGGAGAAGATGGAGTCTTAACGCTGCCTTATTTTGCATTTCTCTAATGCCCAGAAATGGTCAACATTTTTTCATATATTTCTTGATCATTTGTATTTTTTCTCTGTGAAGTGTCTATTTATTTATCTTTCCCATTTCTAGACTGGGTCTTTAATTATAGGTGGTTCCATTTTCTTGAGTTTTTGGTACTCCTTTGTTTGAGGAGTAGTTGGTAAATTATTTCCCATTCTGTAGGTTTTTCTCCTCACTCTCCTGATTGATTCTTGTGATGCACAGAAGCTATTTAGGCTTATATCATCCCGTTTGTTGATTCTTGCTGCTGTTTCTTGTGCAATTGAGGGTCTGTTTAGAAAATCCTTTCCTACACCTGTCTTCAAGTGAAGAAAAACTTTCTTTCAGAAGGTTTAATGTTTCTGTTTCAATGTTGAGATCTTTAATCCCTTTTTATATAATGGAGTATGTGGTGAGAGATAAAGTTCCAGTTTTTTCTTCTACAAACAGAACCAGTTTTCCCAACACCTCATGTCGAATATGCTAGCTTTCTGCTAGCATACGCTTCTGGATCATTTGTCAAAGATCAAATAGCTGAATGGGTTTCTGCATTCTCAGTTCTGTTCCACTGTCTGTTTTTGTTCCAGCACCATGTCATTTTTACCACTATCACTTTGTGGTATACCCTGATGTCAGGGATTCCTATGCACCCTGCTTTGCTCCTATTGCCCAACACTGCTTTTGCTATTCAGGGACTTTTCTGGTTCCATAGGAATCTTGGGATTATTTCTTCCAGCTCTTTAAAGTATGCTGTTGGTATTTTGGATTTGTTGTCATTTTAATGATATCTCAGAACAAGGGACTTCTTTCCATTTTCTCATATCCCCTTCAATCTTTTTCAAAGTACTGTATTGTTTTTAGAAGTCTTTCACTGCTTTGTGTAGGTTAACTTCTGGATATTTTCTTTTTCTTGAGGTGACCATGAATGGTATTATTTTTGTGATTTCCTTCTTATCCTGTTCATTGTTGGTGTGCACAAATGGTAATGATTTTTGCATTTTGATCTCATATCCTGATACATTGCTGAAATTGGTTATTAATTCTAAGAGACTTTTGGTAGAGTTGTTTGTCCTCAATGTAGAGTATCATTTCATCTACCGATAATGACATTTGAATTCTTCCTTTCTTCTATGTATTCTAAAGAAAGAAATAAAGATTTCATTCTTTTGCCTAATTGCTCTGGCTAATGTTTCAAGTATTGAAAGCAGAGATGATGATGGACATCCTTGTCTTGTTCCTGATTTTAGGGAATACCTTTAATTTTTCCCTATATAGTATGATAGTGGCTATAGGTTTGTCACAAATAGCCTTTATCATATTCAGTTATGGTACTTCTATTCCTGTTTTCTTCAGTGTTTTTATTATGAAGTAATAACGGATTTTGTCAAAAGCCTTTTCTGTATCTATTGATACGACCATGTACTTTTTGACCTTGTTCCTCTTTATGTGACATATTACATTTATAAACTTACGTATGTTGAACTATCCTTGCATTTGTGGGATGAAACCTACTTGATCTTGACGTATGATAGTTTTGATAATGTACTTCATTCTATTTGCTAATATTTTATTGAAAATTTTCTGCATGGACATCTTAATACTATATTTTATTTCGTTGTGTTTTTTATGTATTTAGTACAGTATCTACAGGATCTCACTATACAGATCAGACTTATAGTGGTCCTTCTGTTTTCAGATTCCTGAGTGCTGGGATTATAGGCCAGTACCACCACGCCCAGTTGGTTTCTGTCTCAGGTGCCCCGGGGGCAGGGCTGATACTGTATGCTGGGGATCAAACCCCAGTCCATGTGCCTGCCTAAGCAGGCACTTTACTCTGTGTTGTATTTTTTGAAGTCTATTATTTGAATTAAAGGATCATATCATCCCTTACCCAAAATCAATGAAGATTTTTTTCTCAAGGTCATGTGAGACAATTTTTTTGTCTAACAGATTATATTTGTCAAATTTCAAGAGGACAAATAAGCTCCATAACAAAATAAATATTGTTATAGTTGATCTTAAGAATAAGAGGAATCCACAACTCCATGAATGAGAATGGAAAGAACCCACCAAATAGGGCAAACAAATAAATACAGGAGAATAAAAGGTATACAAAAGCAGTCTTTCAGTTATTCTTTTGTATACAGCAGCAAAATATTCCCATTAGCATGCTCTACAAATGGACCTATGGGTCATGATTCTATCTGGGTCTACAGGGTGGATATCAAAGAAATAGTAGTTTAGTCCCACAAGTGACGCCTGGCCACCAGTAAGCATCATGGACACTATCCATGTCCACGGCATACTAGAACTTTGTACGATATCCTATCCCCAAACCATTAGAAGTGCTGGTCATTTATTTGCCATTCCAGTATTTATCTTGTTTTATTCTTAGTAATTCTTTACTATCATGAAAACTTTTTCTTAGTTCGATTGTTTTGAAACATTTAA